AAAGTAGCTAAATACTTCCAAACAATGATGTCAATAAATGTGGAATATTTATTTTTAGGAACATTATGAAACAACCAGAAAGGAATAGTAATATGGTTTCCCATTTTAATACAGATTTCCATAAAGTACTAGCATGGTAGAAACAAACAGTGTTTTTAGTTTTAAATCCTGTTCTACAAATTACTTCTTGATGGAAAATACCTTGTTAACTAGTGCGTCAGGAATATATTCGTTGTCTGGGTTAGAACTAGATGACTTTTTACTTCAACGAACTGTTTTTGTACTAGGAACAGAAATGTTTCTTGTTTTTGGAGCCTTCTACAACAAAAGAAATAAGTTATCAAATGAATTCTGTTATTAGCGTTCACTGGGCTTACACCTGATGGTTATTGTATGTATTTAGACATACATATATATTATGTATAAGATGATTATAAAAATGTTGTCCAACAAATTGATTTTTAAATTTTCTGAGCTTTACAGTCTCGTGGTGTCACAAATGTCAATTATTACATAATTTTTTTAAGATTTTTTTATTCACCTCGAGTGATGGATTTGCTACATGAAAGAAACAGTAAGTTCCTTTTCATGAAGAATTTAAGTAAACCACCTGTTCCACCTTAGATTCCATGCTCGTGATGAAATAGCACGTGAACAAAAGTTCAATTACATCACCTTTTACTTTGAATTTTTTCTTGTGTTTTCTTGTTTAATGATTTTTATCTTTAATGTTGCCTAACGAAGTTTTGGACGCAAACATTTATATTGCATAACATGTACTTAAGTCTACAATAGAAAATAAACCACCTACTAATTATTCCACACAAGTTTTCAATAACATTCGCAACCCCCATTGCTATTTTAACATTTTAGTTCAGATGCACCAAAACAGTAGGTACCGTTTGGGAAAATCAATAATGTCAATTTTATCAATTTTGAAAAAATATTATTAAGAAAAAGTGCAGTTGATGTAACAAATTTTCAAACTATTCACTAAACATTTACTAAACACTACTGGACTCGATTCCTGAAAGATCGCCTAACCCAACATGGGTGAAATCGATTTCTTTTCTAAATTCTGCAAACTGATGTCTGACTTACAATCTTTCTCTTAACAAAATTCTTTGACTTCTGTGAGCATCTTCTTCAGCTGGGGTAATTATTTGAGCTTGCTTTTCTTCCTTTGTTATGTTCTGTTCGTTGTCGATCTTCTTTTACACTGTTTTGACATTTTTACTTCCCGAGCGTAAGCAAAGGAAGTATTGTAATCGAGTCCGTCGGCCGACTCTCTAGTTTTACGTTTTCTCGATCTTTCATGACCCCTAGAAGACGAAGAAATAGGTCTCCCATTTCCGTCTGTCTGTCCGTCTGTCTGTCCGTCTGTCCGTCCGTCTGTCCGTCTGTCCGTCTGTCCGTCTGCCGTCCCGGATTTTTATTAGACAGATAATCTCCGAAAGTACTTGACCGATTGTTGTGAAATTTTGTACTTATATTAAGAATATCATGTAGATGGTAAAACGCCAACCAAAATTTGTGTAATCATCCCCACCACTAATGCGATGACGTCACTTCAAAATTGTACATAGTAAATGGGTTTTCAATTGTATAAAATAACATAGTCCTACACATGTAGTTTACAACTCCGAATCGACTTTTCACCCGAAACGTCCAGATTTTTGGAAAAAAAATCAAAATTATAAAACAACATTTTGAAATTTAATTTTTAATCTGCTAACCAGAATGCTTTGAAATGTTGCAGATGTTTTAAGGCTATAAAGAGCATCATAAATCTTTAGTCAAAAAATATTTGCTTATCCCCTCCAAAAACTTGATGACGTCAGCTCAAAAGTTTGTGGAATAAATCATATCTAAAATGTACAAAATATGATGAGTCTGTACTTGTGATCTATCACTCCATTCATATTTTTTGGATTTGCATATACAGGGTGACTCAAAAAAATTAATGAATGCGTAAATATATTTTATTGATTTAATCAGGAACTACAAAACCGAATGCTCTGAAATCTTGCAGATGTTTTAAGGTCATAAAGAGCATAATAAATGTTTAGTCAAAATATATTTGCTTATCCCCTCCAAAAACTTGATGACGTCAGCTCGAAAGTTTGCCGAATAAATCCTATCTAAACTGTAAAAATATGATGAGTCTGTACTTGTAATTTATCACTCCATTCATATTTTTTGGATTTGCATATACAGGGTGACTCAAAAAAATTAATGAATGCGTAAATTTATTTTTTTGATTTAATCATGCAAAACCGAATGCTTTGAAATCTTGCAGATGTTTTAAGGTTATAAAGAGCATAATAAATGTTTAGTCAAAATACATTTGCTTATCCCCTCCAAAAAATTGATGACGTCAGCTCGAAAGTTTGCCGAATAATTCCTATCTAAACTGTACAAAATATGATGAGTCTGTACTTATGATTTACCACTCCATTGATTTTTTTTTGGATTTGCATATACAGGGTCACTCAAAAAAATTAATGAATGCGTAAATTTATTTTATTGATTTACTCAGGAACTACAAAACCGAATTCTTTGAAATCCACTGCGAAAAAAAAACATAATAGGCATGCAGTCGTCACGTTTCCGACAGCGAGGGAAGTACTGTCTAAACTCTTTAGACCAATTTTTATAATAATGTTCTACCGAGCACTGGAAAATTTTTTCTATAGGATTTCTATTATCGGGGTACCGCTTCCTTTTTTCAGTCACGTCAAAATTTAAAAAACCACCAAAGGAAATTATTTTTTTCACATACAATTTTTGATTCGCACTGTATATTTAGCAAGGCAGAGAAAAAATAATTATACGCTACAATACCATGCATATCACAATGTTGTTATTCTCTTAACTAGTGTCCATCCCAACCAGTGGTTTACAGGCTACATCTATTAGAAATTTGATACTTAAAGTATTTTTTGAATTTTATACTAAACAAAAAATGTGATCATTAAAAAGAACCAAGATTCACCGTAACTAAATATTACACAAACAAAATTTGTATAGTCATTGTAATAAATCTAAAGCACCCTGTACAATACATCTGATTTATTGTTGTAATATAATAACTCTCTCGCAGATTTTCACGTTCTCTTTACACAATCGGTGAAAACTCATTTCGGCATTTTGCTTGTGTCAACTCTTTTAAATTTATTTTTAAATTTCGTTTCGTTATACCAAATATTACTTTTTGTTATTTTTGATGGTATTTCAGATAATCCTTTTGTCGTCTCTTTTCAGTCCTCGACTACATGCCGTCTTTGTCACATCGCTCCACATCAATATGCTTTTAATCAAACTGTCAAACAATTCTGCCTCCACGCGAAACCTATATCCAAAGTTTTTCGCCCCAATTTTCCAAATTATTTCGAAGCTTTTATTTATTTTATTAAATCCTCCACAATGTGTCCTGGGCGATATTTTTCAAGCAATATTTTACTGAAGATTTATGATTAAAAATATGGGAAAATTTTTAAATTTACTACACAAATAACGAAATTCATTGAAACATGTCGTTTTAAAGTATAGTGAATAATAAATAATTTTTATACTTAATAGATGTTAAAATAAAATGATTTGTTTTACATTCAAAACAATTGCCTCTTTCTTGAAATTATAAAAATAGTACATTTTTTTACGTTTCAGTGCGAGTTATAGGTAAATATAAAACATGGCAGAAAAATGGTCACTTTAATTACGAACTCTATACTTAATTTTTTACGATTGCGTTTTTACAGCCTTTCTGTTTCAACACAACTACTAAAATGTAGTATTCTGGGATTTTTGTATGTTTGTACATATAAAAATTGAATCTATACTGACACTGTCAACAAAAATTTGTTATTGCAAACGAATTATGCTAATTATTTTTCAACTAGATAAAGTAACAATAAAATATTACACAGCATCCTTTTGAATATTACCAAAGTTTTGTCTGGTGCATCTTTATTCTAAGTTTTAATTCCGTTACGTCACTAATTCTGGTTGCTAAAGAAGTTTTACAAAACTTTCCAAACTGACGATGAAGTAAACAAAAATAATTAAACAACAACACACAATTTTCTCCTCTCGTAGTACGCTTGTTTACTAAGCTACCCTTACTTTTCCCCCAATGTAAGAAACATCCGACCAACTTTCAAATATTAAAGAGATCTGCACTTTCAGTGTACTCATAATTTGAATCTGGTCTTCTTATACATAAAATATACTTCCGCTAAAACTTTCGGATGTGATTACCTGCAACAAACTTAACAGAGTGCTGGGAAAATGTTGACATCAGAAAAATTTTACCCTATAAAAAATTTAATTCTAAAAATACATCTTTATGTCATGCTTTAGAGTATTTTTAAATATTTCCACCCACGGTTATTCGTCCTGAATAATTTATAGCATCACACTTGGAAGCTTCTGTCGATAAATGGATTTTATCCAGCAGTGTCTGCGTTCCAAGAGCAAAATTAAAAACTGCATTTTGTATTGAAATTGCTCCGCATTTCCTTTTTGTTTTATTAAAATAGAAGAAAAAATCATGCCCGATCATGAAGACAGTATGCAAGAACAAGAAAAACAGACTTAGAAAAGAATATATGATTTGTGTGTTATTTTTCGCGAATTGATGCCATTTTATATATATTGAAACTGTTAAGCAGTTGGTAAGGTAACTTAATGATAGTTTAGCCTGAAATAAACGGCCCAAATATAGTTTGATTTGATTAAGTGGAATAGAAAGTGAAACCTACATGATTTCTGTATAAAAATCTGACTTGTAAATAGCACGAAACAGATCTGAAAGGCGATACTCAATCGAAAACTAATGCAGCGATAAAACACGCAGAGGTTCATAATTTCATGCGAATACTCGACCTATATATATTCTTTCCCGGGTCTGTAATGAAACCTATCTAACACACACTGCATCAGCACTCATGAAAAATAGAAAGAATGCAGTCAAGCTTGCAGAATTACACGTACTTTACCTGACTAACGGAACTGCTTGCGCGTCTGGATCCGCTCTCCGAGAATCCAGAATTGCCACTGTACGCTGCATTAACTGCTCCTCTGGAAGAGGATCTGTAAGGAGATGTGCTACGACCTCCGCTTCTCGATCCTGCAAACAAAATTGACACTGATAGTGACTTTAGTATATGCGAATTTAGGTGGTAAATGCGTTACCATTTCTATTGCGATGTCTCTGGAGAGATTTGCATTATAGATTAAGGTTCGGATGTACGTCAATGCGAACAACGGATGTACATTAGAAGTGTGACGGAATTCACGACTTCTTTTAGGGTCAATTATTTCTTAACTACAAGGTGCGATCGACAAAAATCGTCTTCTAGTTGACGCGGCACTAAAAGAACAGCTCTCTTCCTCATCGTCTGTTATACACTTCGAGGGGCAAGAAAGAGTGTCAAAGTCGCGTCAACTAGAGAATGATTTTCGTTGATGGCACGTTTGTAAGGGCTACCCCATATAAAATTCTGTTTAAATGTACAGAAATTAATGTACGGAGGACTAATGGATTTTATGAGCAACTGTGGTGGTTTTGTAAACGATAAATACACTTTTGTTTTTCGAGCGTAAGCTAAGGAAGTATTGTAATAGAGTCTATACGCCGAACGACTACTTTCATGTGTTTTGTTGTTTGATGACCCCTAGGGAATGAAACAATAGGTCTCCCGTTTCCGCCTGTCTGAGGTCTGTTGTTTCTCGTCTGTGTCTGTTGTTGTTGATAAACCTCGAAACTGCTCGATTGTTGCTAAATTTTACACGTACATTACGAATATCGTGCAAATACTAAGACGCTAACAATTTTTTTCTGTTCTTCCTCACCAACAATTTGAAGACGTCGCCTCAATTAGATAAAAAAACATAACCATCTGGATTTTCTCAAGAAAATCAAAATTGTTTAACAATATTTTATGGTAATATAAGAGAAACTCTGACCAATAAGCTCAAGGGGCTGGAGTACGTATTAATGACGCGAAGGTCATGGGATCGATCATCCCATGGGTCACTATTTTGAATTAATTTGTGACTGGTATTATCAATATTTTTTAAATTGGATTTGTTTTATTGTTCCTTAGGGGAGAGGAAAGTTCTGTGTAAAGCCAGTTGACCAAATTTTAAGTGAAAATCGGCTGCACACCTAATAATTTTGCTAATAATTTCGTTGATAAGAATAAAATTTACGAAACTTCTTATATTTTTAACACCTAAACGTGAATCCAGTAGGTTAAAACTCGTTGTGTAATAAATATACTGAGTGACAAACGTATAAGAACGCCAAGAAATGGCCATTCAATTGAACTGATTTTAATGTATTATGTGTTGGTGTTTAAAATAAATAAAAAATAAAAATACTAAATATATGGGCGAAAAAGAGGACCCGGGTGGGTTAGGTAGCTTCGTGCTTGCCCGCTACACCCTGGGTCGTGGGTTCGATTCCCGCCCGTATCTGGGTGTTGTGTATGTCCCTCGTTCCCCTGTAATTGGGCCTCCGGCCTGTTGGGGAACGTAATCAAATAAAAAAAAAAATTAAATGTACAGATATTTAAGTATAACATAAGTACCGTTGTATAAACAACTGCCCTACAACAACTAGTCGAATGTTATTTTATTACACAGAACTTCTACCATCCAGTTCTTTAGAACTCAGTCGTCTCTTTTATTTTAGTATAAAATATTGTTAAAAGTTTTGATTTTCTTGCGAAAATCTGGATGCCTACGATAAAAAAGTTGCTCGAAGGTTTGTTCGACAGAACTTTCCCAGCCCTTGAAGAACGATCAGACAAATTCCGCTTTTTTAAAAAAATAAAAAATTTGATTTTGTGATTTTCGTATTGCGATAAAGTAAAAACTAGTGATGTAAATAACACCCCCACAGCTCCTGGGCAACGGGGGTGCAGATTCCAAGGGAGCGCGGTTCGCACACGTGTTGACAACATGTATACATTTAAAGCAGATAACCAACGAGAAAAATATAGATATTCTCAGTTTCTCAGTACATGCTTAACTTCGCTGGTTTATGTTTATACTTCGAAAGAATTCGACTGTTAGCACGTTAAGATTACAAGCATCAGTGGTTAAAAGAAAATGAAATTTGATTTATTTTGTCTCCTAGAAGACTAATTAATCAATAAACCACACTCGTTTTTCTTCTTAAAACTACTCATAAATTTGACCAACATTTATTCGGCGAAAAAAAAAGATCAATTTATCTAACGATTTACCATGTTCTCAATAATCTTAAAATATTTGCAAGACTTCACAGGATTCGGTTTTGCAATTCCAAAATTAAATTATAAAATGTTGTAATACAATTTTTAATTTTTTCGCAAAAATATAGATATCTAGAGCAACAATTCAACACGGATTCATAAATTACACATGCAGCAGTATGTAATTCTATAAAATTTAAGAGACATTGATTCAGCAAAATTGTAAAATAGCGTCAAAATTTTTTGGAGAGCATAAACTAAAAAAATTTGATTAACGGTTTACCATGCTTAAGACTACAATAAAACGCTTGTAAGACTTGAGGGCATTCGCGTTTCCAGTTTCAATGTTAAATTCTAAACTACAGTTTTGACTTTTTCCCAAAAATCTAAAAACAACACAACAATTTAAATAACATGCAAAATTACTGGTCGGGACGATCAAACAAGATATTCCTAAAAGAGGCACACAATTTGACAACAATCAGTCCAGTAATTTCAAGGATTATGTGTCTAACATATCTCGACACAGACATAGGTTAAGCAGACCAAACCAGGAGTCATTAAACGTAGAAAAAGTTTGCTTTAAAAAGAGCACGTAGTCTCCTTAATTATGCAACATTAAGGTAATTTTTCCCTCACGAGCATAAGCTACGGAAATATTGTAATGGGGTTCATCCGACGAACGTTCATATTTCTTCAACGTTTCATTATCCGTAGAGTACGAAAATGTAGGTCATGCGTTTCTGCCTGTCTGTGTCAATTTTTATTAAACAGATAACCTCCTGGACTGATTATTATTATTATCATCAAATTTTATACGTTTGTTGGGAATATGGTTAGATGGTAAGACGCTAACTAAAATTTGTTTAATCACCAACAATAATAAATGTTATTTAAATTTTATAAAATACGATGCTCCTGCATTTAGGGTTTATGAATCCGTTTTGATTGTTAACCTATACATATAGGTTTTCGGAAAAAAAATCATAACAATACTTTACAATTTAAGTTTGAAATTCCGACACTAAAAAATTTTCAGAAAAACAACTGCTCATCCAAAATAATACCACTACCAGACAGAAAAACCCGGACACTTGAGTTTTTTGTGTATACCTGCAATTGCATGATCGTTTCCGGGTTGGAACGGTGTTAATTGAGTTTCACCTTTCGTAAGTGGCATCTTCAGGAGCAGGATTAAAAATAAGGAAAAAAAGAGCACGGTGACTCAGGACGTCAACCATACCAGAGGCGAAACTCTTCTCGCTAGAAGAGAGAGAACTGAGTTACCGTGCTCTTTTGCCTTATTCTTAACCCTGCTTCTGAAGATACCACTTACGAAAGTGTGCGAAACGTTGAGCCCAAAAACTCAGTTAACACGGTTCCAACCCGGAAAACGATCATGCATTGATTTCGACCGTGAAAACCTCCGAAATTATACTTGCAATTAGTCGAACTTTATGTATTCATTAACAGAGTGCATAACTTTATTCTAAAACATATGGAAACAGAAAACAAGTAAAAAATTTGTAGCACTAAAAATGAGTGTAAAGTTATAAATATTCAAGTGTCCGGTTTTTTTTTTGTCTAGCGGTGTATTTGGAATGTAAGGGCGTAGTTGGCCATGGATTTCAAAAATCCCGTTTCGCTGAAATTATGCTTCATGATGACAGTTCTCTCTTGTCACATTAATGTCTAATGTCATTTGTAACCTGTAATTTAAAGTCGTCGTTTTTATTGTTTTAATGTTTTTCAAGGGCGAATTACAATAATTCTTGTTGATCCAACCTCAAAACAACAAAACAGTCATTTTCAACACTCTTGGTGGTTGCGCAGTGGTTGTTTTGTGTTAAGAAGCGAAGACTGTAAAAATGGTTTATTCTGTTGAACAAGACTCTTTCATCGTCATGTCGTGTTATCGCTTCGTAAACGAAGAGTGTGTGTGTATTCTGTAACCGCTTGTAAGCAAGAACATCTGGCCAAATACCGTGATTTAATAATTCAAGAAACATCGTTAAATGCTTCGCAGCAGAGATGTAATCAACAGATTTGTTCGAACTGGCAGTGTCAACAAAGAGAAATCTCGTGGAAGACTTCAGTATCTGAGGGAAGTTGTTGATGATTTGAGACGATTTGACCAGAATTGAACAATTGACCCTTTTACTGTAAGATCGTAAAACTTCCATAGTGATTTTGTGTGCGCATGTAACATCAAAACCACGTTGGAAATAGTATCCGGCACTCCGACAGCAGAGCAAAGGCCTGTGGCAACAAACCGCTTTGACAGAATGTAGCTGGAAACACATGCGTAATCTGTCGCTCATTGGTTAATTTTAACTTGGCGCTGCAGAAATCTGTATCATTGGAATTTATATAATATCTACTCACTTTGCTTACACGATAAGGCTCAATTGAACAACGGGTCCAAAGTATTGACGAAAGGATGTTACAGAACATTTTTGAAATTGAAAAGAGAGTAAACACGTGCCTTGAACAGAATAATGAACATTTTCAACAATTACTGTGATGTTTAACCGGAAAAAATTTGTTTCTTTTGATTGTAATGAATTAGTTGTATTTTTTAAAAACATATGACGCGTTTAGGCAACCAGTTATACAGATGCGTGTGGCCTTTGTCATGCGTCCTTGGGCACTTAGTACAGATCTCCGTACAGTTAAATCTGAGAGGCGGCACGTTTACATGACCTACTGCGACCCTATAATCATTTATAGAAACCCTGTACTTGTTTTTAGTGAATACATTAATCGTCTTTTTATACAACATATACATCTCAGCATTTAAAAATTACTGAATATCAATATAAGGAAAATTGCCACAAGTTTTTACCATTACTTAATTTAAAATACACGCAATCTGCAGATGGATTATTATTTATTAATTAATAATTAATATTACAATTAAATCCTACAGAATCTGTAGGAACTGAAATCATTAAAGTCTAAACGAAATAGGTAATTTTTTTGCTCATTTTAGTTTGATTTGAGTAATATGCAAATTTGGGCGTATATTAGGTATATTACTGATTTCAAGAATTAACTAAGCCGAAAACATAAACAACAATAATTTTTCTTGTCTTAGAAGTAGAACAAAATGCATACTACTTATTCATCATTTTCAACGGTGTATAAAATGAGGCCCCGTAAAGTGGTGTTTTTGTTGATGATAAAAATGAATTTTTTTGATAAAATTTATTCGTAAAACAAAGTGATGTAATTAAGCTGCCTCATTTTTGAGGTTTTTTGCTTTCAATCTCTCTAAACGTTTTAAGAAAAATGCAAAAAAAAAAATAAATAAAAAACCTAATAATTTTGGAACAAACAATTTTTAATTCACAAAGAAATAAATTTTATTGATCAAATTGCTTTAAAAGTACTGTTTGTATAGAAAACAAGCTGGCAGTGAAGAATACAGTAAACTAGATATAGAGACATCATAAAATACTCAAAACATTTCCGGTATCGTAGGAAATGCAGACAACTTTTATTTTACCTTCCTTTCTACATTTTTAGAAACATGATAACGTTTACTTATATTCAAAATTATAAAAACTCTATGTTCGTGTTCAGAAAATAACTAAAAAATCTGCAAATAAAAAGTTTAACAAACACGATTAAACTTTTATCTTATAGGAGTGTTATAACAATGTCTTTACTAGATCAGGTAATAATTTTCAGACTTTATTTCGTAAATCCATTTAATGAAACACTGTTAGTATGCAGCTTTAAATTATTTTTAAAGCAATGTTTTATTTTACGCTCTTGTGTCAACTCCTATATTTGCCGGCGATAACAACCGACTGTTCATAAACTTAATACTCTTCCTCAACTATTAAAGCTGCAAAAGAATTAAACTGTTTCATCAGCTCACAATGTTAGAGTTTGTGTAACTAATTATTTTGCTCGGAATTTGTGAAAGAGCAGTTTATGAAAATAAATGAGTTGCAAGTTTATTAGACTGAGGTAAATGGTAGTAATAAGTAAGTAGTTCATAACACTGACATGTATTGAACTTAGCAGCCCTTTTAAAATTTAATTCGCTCAAGTTAAAATGTAAGCAGCACGTAAATTCATTAGCCAAATTCCACTCGAATGGGCACGTTATTAATCAAATTTGATAAAATGAAATAAGGAGCTGAAACTCTCATTTGTTTGGGAAAACTCAGTACTAACACAAAGTGACTGACGCGGAGGTGTTTAAAATTTGTTTATTAACAAACGTGTTTCTACAATAATTATAAAGACGATTTAAATTTAATTGTTTAAAGTCAAATTAATTGAAATCAATTAACAACATATTTATTTGCATTATGTAGATTAAGTTAATTTGTACCACTACTGGGAATCTTATTAAGCCTGTAAGGCAAATAATAAATTAATACTACTACAATTAACAACATATTTAGTTCCACAAAAGAACAGTAAGCCCAAGAGAACCATAGCAGTATTTTACAGAAGAATAACTAATGCGTGCCCATCCACTTCTACAATATCTTTGTAGAACTCTTTGATTTTCAAAAAGATTAAGTACACGAGGTGTGGAACAAAAATCCTATCTACAAGAGCACATTCCCTTCAGCATTAATAAAACATCGATATTATTCTCCTAAACCCTCATTTTTCATTTGGTGAAAGTTTATAAGCCTCATGCCCTTTATATCCCCTGGAAAATTTACGATAGTAAGGTAGAAAAATACGTTTCCACGTCACCTAAGTAAGTGTCTACCACCTTTAAGTTCACCGTTTTCATAATCTATACTTTTATCAATTTTGTTCTATCCCCACGGACCCATAAATTTCATGCATTTAGCCCAGAACAGCGTATCTCCAGTGATATAAACTAGAAAGGTTCCTAAAGTGCCACGAAGCCTTGTTTTTACGAGATCTTAACCATATCGCTCTTGTCTTTTATGTTAATATTACAGAAGGCTTATTTATTATAGTGCTTCCGATTTGCTGCCATATTTTTTTGTCAGTTATTGCCTATTATTTCTCAATAATTTCAAAAGACCGTTATTGCGTGAAACGGCTGTGATGAAAGGTCTAATTTGACATAAAATAAGTTTTTGTGTCGTGAAAGCTATCATAAATTGTGTGGTATAAATGATGTCTATACACAGTTATAGCTTTATTAAATTCGCTTATAACTCGGTAATTTTTATTGTGTCCATTAGGTAGACATTATTATGAATAAATAAAAAATTATTGCGCTACGAACAATAAGGTTGCGAAAAAACTGTAATAATTTATAGTCATTTTTAAAGTGCAATTTAAAGCTAAAGTGAGGGTGATGCAATAATACTGTTTGATATTACTGTTTTAATGATTAATAAATGGTACACGTAGGTCTACTGTACTCTGTAATTGTATTCTCTGATGAATTTACTGAGAAGAGACCAGTAATTTTAATTAACTGGTTAATTTAATCTTTTTCCTCTAGAAAAACAGACAATCATTTCGAAATCGTATCAGTATATTTCCCGAGTAAAATATTAATTTAAAGAGCCTTAAAAATCTCCTGTGAATACGTATTCTATAAAACGTTACAAGAAAGCTGTAATTTTCAAATTCTCAATATTAATTAAGCAAGGATTGTTTTTATACATGAGGCTAAATACAATTTAAGATCTAAGTCGTAAATGATTAAATAATAATATTTAAAAATAAATTAACTTCACCCAAATTAAAATCTACTTCATAGGCGAACCTCAATCATAACAGCTAACTACAGTCTGCATAATGATACGATATTGATGCAATGAGGCAAATAATGCTTAAATTGAACCATCAAACTGTGAACTGATTAGATAGATGCGTTACACCAAATTAAACATTTTGTTTCCTAAATTGCACCACTAGATTACAGATTTAATCCGATCGAAATGTCTTTGTTACAAAGAATTATAGTGGAATTATCCAGTTCAAAACATTATGTCTGCTTCACATATGTACTTGTATGTATTATACGTGCTGCTGATAGAGCTATTTTAAGTATCTTAAATCTCTCTGAACCTCTGCAATTAACAAATAAACAAATAAAATCAAACAATTTCTGATACATGCCAGTTAACTTCTAATCAGACAAATCAGTATTTATGTAAGTCTCGGTATACCGAGTAAAATAAATTCTAGACACGAAAACTGAAACCTGTTGAACAATTCAATAAGTTATAGGAGCATTTGTTAATATAGTTCATTGTAATAAATTTTCTTTCGGTCTTCTTAACCAATGTCACATAAATATGAGTTAGTAATTTTTTATGTATGCAAAAGTCAAATTGAAACAAAATTTTCCACCTCAGCGAGCGTAGATGAAAACAACAGAACCCTCTCACTTTACATTTTCGTTCCCCTTCAATATACAATTTTCGTCTCAATCGATATTGTATGCTTGCTGCTCATTAAGCCAAAGCAATAGAACCATTGTTTCGCACATCACCTTTACAGTATCAAAGCACAATGCCGTGTCATGAAAACCCCAACCCCTTTAACTTCTTATGCTTGTGACAACTCACCGGAAGGATTGTCGGCACTTGAGCGTCGTTCATTAGAGAGCGGTTCCTGAAAAGTCAACGTCAGACTCCCTCTGGGACTTCTACCGCACTCGTCTGCGTTCAGTGTGCTCCTTGCAATGCTTCCTCTGGGACTTCTATTTTCCCCGGCGCTTTCTGGTCCGATGCTTCCTCTAGGACTCCTGTCGCCAATGTACTCGCCAGCAATACTACCTCTTGGACTCGTCCTCATGCACAAAGTCTCCGGTGCTATACTTCCTCTAGGACTTCTAGTATCAGGTACGATACTATGCCTCGGACTCCTACTACACGTCGTCTCTTCTTCCTTCGGCCAGTTCATAGACTCAGACGGAGTGAGACTCGCCCTGGGAGTTCTACTCGATTCTGGAACTAAACTGCTTCTAGGACTCCGGTTAAAATCCGGGACCAGGTTGGTTCTCGATCCGTACGTGTTATTGTCAGGTACCAGACTATGCCTAGGACTACGACCCGGGTCAGGTACTAAACTATTCCTACCGCTCTTATGTACATCAGGTGCTAGACTGTTTCTAGGACTCCGGTTGAAACCATCCGGCACTAAACTATTTCGTGGACTTAACGCCGAATCCGGCACTAAACTATTACGAGGACTTCGTGAGTAAGTGTCATTTGGCACTAAACTATGTCTGGGACTTCTTAAAGCCGCAGTGTCGGGTATGAGGCTGTTTCGAGGACTCAGAGCCGAGTCGGATGCAAGGATATGTCTGGGACTCCGTAAATCGTCCTGATCAGGAGACTGACTGTCCAGAGATATATCGGGAATGATGCTGTGTCTAGGACTGCGATTTTTTTCGGGTGCTAGAGTACTTCTGGAGGCCCTTTCACTATCCACAGGCGAGACGGCGATGCTCGCCCTTCGGCCAGGACTCGTGCCGGCCGATCGGGAAGGCCTAATTTGGGGAGAGGACGCCGCACTCCGGGACGCCCGGCGGCGTCGGGACGAAGTACTTCGGTGCAGCATTTCTGAAAAAAAAAGATATGTTAATACTTCATTCGTATATAATCTAGTCAGTTTCAACAGGTTTTAAGTTTATCTTAAAAATTTTGACAGCTTTTGGGTGTGGCGGGTGTGTTTTCTGTTATTTTTACATCCATTATATAGTATAATATTAAAGAGTAATCGGTAATAAAAATGTTGACGATCGTAATCTTAATTTTATTAAACCTAAGTTTGTTAAGCTAAACGCGGACAACATAATCCAAGAAATGTTCCCTTCCAAAATTAAAAAACTTGAAATTGGAGGCACAGTATACCCTCGGGATTGCTGTGATTAAGAGTTCTTTATCTTTGATCCCTTGACAGTAAACAGGCTATTTATTAAATTCGAGCAGGGACTAATTAATTACTGTATCGTAAAAGATGATGCCCCTTTTTCTTGTAAAGTAAATTACACCAGTGTAGGACGACAGCAACGTCTTTCAACCGCACAAAACTAATATCGTCTGACTCCTGTGAGACTCAAGACCCAATTATCGAGCTTTCTGACTACTGATTTTCTTGTTAATATGGTGGACTTAGGTGGTTTTTTATGGCAACTCAATTACAGAGACATCAAATAAATCGATTTGGTCGTATTTTCTTCGCAAAGCGTTTAATGGCTACCAACTAGTTGAGAACTTTTTACATTTCCGTCAATAACCTTAACTAGTTGGTTGAAACTGGAAACTTTCACACAGCGCAACGAAACGGTGTTACAAAAAATTTACAACATTTGCTTTTGTCACTCTATAAAATAGAGCAATCAGTCAAAAATATAAATGGTGTTAACTGCCATGCACGACATTGTGTGGGTTCGTGGAAAAACAGAAACTGTTGGTCTCGAGAGGAAATTGTTTCATCTCTTTTTTTTACTCTACTCAAACTTCGATGAAAACTTCAGCCTCAATTCACTGGTCTTTTACACAGCTATGCTCTTTGACGCTCAGTTCTTTCGTAATGTGAACGATTCAGACGAAATAGATGATTAAAAATAAATGTTGCTTGAAGAAGTTTAATTTCCAAAGTATAACCGTCGGAACGCATGGCACTGGAAAATTATTTTTTATGGTGCAAGTATCAGATACAAGTTAGAGCGCAAAAACAATTTGTTTGTTTCGGAGAAGAACAATGGTTATTTTAATGAAAATATCAGGGAGACGTAGTGTAATTTCATAAACAATTGTTGTTCATCATACATGGGGGATGAAGTGATGAATAAGGAAATAAACAAAAAACTTGTATGATTAGGACCCACACAGGAAGTACATCCCACGTGCACGGTCAAATTACTTTTACTTTTTTTGGAGAACAAATTGGGTAATATAAAAGTTACTAACGAAATGTATAATTTTTTTTAGATAAGACCTTTTTTTTCTCAAAGACCATTCGTTTCCTATTATAATAATACGGAGTTAAAGGTCACACAACAAATTTTTCAGCAACATTGACTAGGGACTTTCTTGTCGTATTGAGTAACAACTTTTTACCTTTCTTTTTGTCAGTGGATTTACTGACCAAAAACTTCATAACTTGATATTACTTGATTAAGTAGCATCAAATTAAGAAATTTTGATTATTAAGCTCTTTGCTCTTGATTATTAACTGGTAAAATTAGTTAGTTGATTACAAACATTCTCCAATTATTTCTTTGTTCGTTGGTATTTGTTAGCTGATAGTTAGTATAAACTCTTATTACTAGAGAGCGGATTATATGAAATTTGTATATCCGTTATTTTTTGCATATAAGTCTTGATATTTAATATGTGAACGAAGCATGCTAATTAAAAATGAATGCAGCTATAAAAAAATTGCATATTTGCATATATTTGCTTTTTGGTGCATATTTAACGGAACGGGTGCATATTTTGCATTTTTATCAATTTTTGTGCTAATTTCAAAAAAAAAAATTGTCATTCTATCGGCATTTATCTAGAAGGACGAAATTTCATGAATCATATTGCAAATATTGTTCTGAGCTTCAAATAACTGGGAAAGGTTTGGGTTTTATGATAGCTTGGAGGAACCACTGGGTCTTAAGCCAACCTTCCAGGTCAATTCGGGTTCTAATTACTTTTGGAAATACCGTTCATTGCCAATATTTTTGTTCGTTACTTAAGTGTATTAATGGTATGTTTTATGGTGGTCGAAGGGACGTTATCCTGTTATTTTTCATCGTGAGTTTGCATTTAAGCATTTAAAGCGATAGAGATGTGTCAATATGTAGATAACTCAAATTAAGTTATGGATTAAACCTTTTTCTGAACTTATTCTTCAAGAAGGAACTATGTTTTGTCGCGCCTGCTCTAATCCGGTAAGCATTTTTACATTTGTAGACCGAGTACGCAGTTTTTCTATTTACAAATACATACTTTAGAATTACCGGAAAAACTTTTTGTTAGAATATTTCGAAAAATATTTAAAAATAAATTGTTACCAAAATAGCAATTAAATAGTCGATTACTATTATTTTTTAATTCGTTTTGTTTACCTATATTTATTTTTTAGTATAAGAATATTATCTTAAAAAATGTCAGTGAGATCTAATTAAATACTTTGCAACGTGATTTATGAATTTTTTTGTAATAAAAGGTAAGCACGGGAAACCTGTTTGTGCAATTTGTAAATAAATTTAGTTCGGTTATTACGCTTTTTTTTTATTTTTGGAGCATATGCAACTGCATATATCTCCATATATTAGGAAAATTATTGCATATTTGCATAAATTTGATGCATATCATATGATCATATTTCCCAAAATTTTGCTGCATATTTTCCGCTCTGTACTTATTACAAAGAGGACAAGCATTGTCTCAAAATTAGCTGACACCCTTGAACATTAGTTATATTCCCTGAAGCGGATCTCTAATATTTTTGTGTAAGACAAGACTGTTACCACCTAAAATTATCACCGAAACAATAAAGCTAAAGGAAATGTTTCCCATTTCCAGATTTAGAAAAGTATAGATGTGTTAAATCGATCTTTTGACGACTCTAGCTATTACCTCCCTAAAGCGTTATGAGAGGGTAACCAACTGTTTCCCATTTTATCGTTAGAAAAGTTGAACTTTTCTCATCGGTTAATTAATAAGGAGGACACTTGAAAAATAAGTAATTGTAAATCTTGGCGATTTCGATTTTTAAAAATTATTTTTCCTTGAATTTTTCAAAAAGTTTCTAATGTTTATTTACATTAATATCATCTACAAAAGTTTTTGTTACACTTGGTAATACATTGTGATCTATATCTATGATTTATGATGTATGATCTATGATCTATGGCAGAATAGAAAAAACGCAATTTACAAATATCATTTTCTTAAAACAGATTATATTATTATATATTAAAATTATCCGAGTTTAATAAGTAATCACATAACACAATAACCCTCCAGAATGTTGAACATCTATAAAATATTCACATCTGGTAGTACGTCTCGTAATACATACCAATATTAATACGTTTATCTCCACTAAAAATTGATAAAAGGATGAAACCTTCTCAAAAATTAATAAAATAATCTTTGCCTGCGGTGGGATTTGTGTTTGAGACACGACGGAACTTCTGTTTGCATTTTTTTTTTCATTTCACAACAATGCTTTGTTGTGCGGAAATTTTATTGAAATAGAAATCTAAAGATCCATTCTTTTCCAAGAACAAATGTTTTTATTTAAAAAAGGTTTTTATATCGCGTTACCTCTGAAGTTGTACCACTTCTAAAATTTTTTTATTTTTTTATTCAGTCCTTAAAAACATGCCGAAAGTAATATTTACTTTGCAGACGTCCTTACGTAAAGGCTCTAAATCAAAATTATTTAGGAATGTAAGTCGCAGTTTTTTTTTCTTGAGAAACAATACATACACGTAATATCTTAATAATCGAAAAATAGTTTTTACATAACACAAGAAGTAGTTTATATAAAACGATAAATTGTACGTAATTTTAGTATGTGAATGTTTTGGTAAGTATACAAATTTCTGGCCTTATAGATTCCTGGGGTTAATTGTTCGTACGGTCGTGCTTTAAAAGCGAACTTAGAGCTTCCTCTTGTGTCCACATGGTTTCAGTTTTGAAACTGGATCTTGAAAATTGTTCATCAAATAGTTTCCAATATCGTTGTATATAATGTCCTTCTTGACGAGTAGTTTGGTCACCGTTAATTAGGTTCAACTCCAGCTGTGGATAATGTAACTTTTGCTTCCCCACTAATGTTATTTACAACGAGTTAACATTGTTTCATTTTTACTTATTATTTGAGAAACTTGTGTCATATTGACAAAAAATCTTCGCTTTTGTTATCTTAAATTATTTAATTGGGTTAACTCTTCAAGTAGATTTGAATTATCTGCATTAGAATTTTTCTATGAGGTATCAGGGTTAGTTGTTTGAATACTCTGTTTTGGCTCGAAAATCTCGCCTCTGAACTCACTAATTTCGTTATTAAGTTTGACAGAATCTCTAGAGGCTGGTTCTTGCGTTAATGCTCCAGCTGTTACCGAGATGTAGCTAGAGTTTCATTATCACATATAGCTGTTCTATTTTACGACATAATTCTTCTCATTATGCTGTTGGCATTAAACAAATATTGGTAATGTGCAAACGTTGTTTAAACAAAAAACTGTGAATTCTTTTGTTTTTTAAAAATAACCACCATTATTAAGTACTCCCAGTATAATAACATAAAAAAATAATACTTAGAAAATCATAGGCAAATTTAAATTTATAACTATCTCTATTTTATTTAATATTAGACGTTTTCTCAAATATTTCTCTCAACTAAAAATAATAATTTAAACTCGTGTAATAAAGTAACTTACGTGTTTCCAACGCTCCAAGAGCCACACCAACAGGCATGAGTTTATTGCCAGTTATATTAGAGAATGAATAAATTGCTGAGTACAAATGTACCTCGCAAACACGCTTGTAAAGCTAGTGTGGAATATCAGAAATTCCAACTCGTACAGACTAATTGTGAATATTGCATT